GTACATATAACTATCTCATGTACATATAAATATCTCATGTACATATATATACTGTATATATATCTTGTGTATATACTCTCTTGTCTACATGGTAACAGTGCTTGCCGTTGTTTCGTGTCCTCTCTTTCCTTTATGGGCTGTAAACGTTATCACTGATTGTTCAGCTCTGATAAACTTTATTGACATTCTTCAGATTTATTTCCTCCAAACCAGAAACAAAACTGATGATCACAGCTCAACGCAGTACTTTCAATCTACTACTGTACTATTCATTTTGAGGTACTTCTATTTTAGTGTTTTCATTTCATGCTACTTTATACTTCTAATGCACTACTTCTCAGACGGAAATATTTTATATAATAATAATAATAAAAATACTTTATCTGCACAACATTTATCTGACAGCTTTTCAGATTAAGATTTTAGAAACAAAACAAATGAGTATCTTATAGAATATGATGCAGTACTTAAAGTAGTGCATAAAGTATCAAAAGTGTGTTGACAGCTTACAACATGAAGTAATACTATCCAATAATATAATAATGTATTATTAATAACAGAACACTCTGAAAGGAGTGTTTGTGAACAATGAATACATTTACTTTTGATTCTTCTAGTACATTTTGCTGATAATAATTTTTACTGTAGTAACATTTTGAATGCAGGAATTTTCCTTATGTTAGAGTATTTCTAGACTGTGGTATTTGTACTTTTACCTCAGTAAAGGACCTGAATACTTCTTCCACCACTGAATTAAATGTGACCCATTAAACTGAAGTAAAGGCTGTTGTAACTACAGCGACACTATTGACCCTGCTGCTAATAAAGGGAACAGATTCATATTTTATTGTTTGTCCTCACATTCCATTTTCACTTCAAAATGTACTGAACTCTCACCATTACTTCAAATTATTCTTTTGGGCATTTTTGTAAGAGACCAGGACTCCCTCATTTTGAATCAATAATACATTATTGTGCTTAAACTCAGAGACAAGATCATTTCATTTCACCAATTTTAAATTTGATGATATTTTAAAGACGGCGCTGCTATTCAAATTATAATTATGTCTCGATCTGAATGAATATATATCCCACAATGCTTTGCAGGTGTATTCTCAGAATCAATATCATGTTGTACTTATTTATATTATTACATCATCCAGAACTGAAGCACAACTAAAATGATGGAACTGGAACCCCGGAGGAGCCGTAACCTGATGCATAGTAACTAATCTTCCATTGTAACCGTCTTCTCGTTGTTTCAGAGACTCTCCTCGGTCGCCGGTCAGGATGTTCTGACTCCTCAGAGATTCCAAATATTGAGCTCCGTTCAGCGTCTTCATCCATCTGAACCTTCGTCTCCCTTCACAGCACCGCCTGCAACCATGGACAGCACCCCGAGGAACTGGGTCCTGAAACCTTTGGCCCCCCTGCTGCAACCCTCAGACCTGCGCACCATCGCCGGCCCAGCACGGAGCGAGTCCCCAGACCCGAACGATCCAGTCTTCAGCTCCGACAGCATCTCCGTCGCTCGTAGTCATTCCTCAGTGGTCGTCTCCTCACAGCAGGGTGACGGGTGCAGACACGTTGTAGTTCAGGCTCGGCAGGTCACCGTGTCGCAGGATGGAGGGAGCATCAGCGACGAGTGGCATCCCAGCAGCCCCAGTGACGCCAGAAGTCCCAGCAGCAGCTTGGGCTCTCACTGCGGTTTCTACTCCTTCGTGGAGGATCCGGCGAGTCCCGAGGCCGAGCTGAACGAAGCCTGGATGGTCTCACCGCAGCGGCAGACTCAGCTGGCGACCCTGAAGGAGGAGAAAGGATTCAAACTCCAGACCTACACCAGCAGCAGGAAGCCAGAGAGTCTTTTTGCAGAGAGCGATGGAGACTCACAGTACAAAGTGGATCTGAAGAACGGCAACGAAGTTGTCCAGGAGGAAGTGGAGAAGCAGCTTCGTAAGGAGATCATTCGCAGCCAAGCACCGAAGAAGAACCCAACATTCAAAGATCAGCTGAGTGCACTGGAGGATCTGGATCCGAGCAGATCTACGAACAAACTGATAGAAGGTTTCGGCGTGAGTTACAGTATCGACAGCTTCAGAACAGAACCTCTCTGCCCTGCAGAGACCGGGACCGTTGATGAGGAGCAGATCAACTTTAGCGCTGCCCGACAACAGTTCCTGAAGATGGAGCAGGACTGGCTGACTGCACTGTCCAGCCCTCTGAGGTCCTCGAGAACACATCTGAACGTGTCTCTGCAGCCAGATCCTGATGTGTCCTCATCAGAGCAGGTGGAAACATACGACAGCTTGGAGGTGAGCGAAGATGCAATAACTTTTATACCAACTGAAGAAGATGAGATCCACCCAGAGAGGAAGGTGACTGTGTGGCGGACTGAGGAGAGTCTCAGTTGGCAGAGCAGTGTGTTCAATGGCCTGGACTCCGGCCTCGAGGAGCTGACCGTGGAGGTGGGCGGCGGCTACACCAGTGATGAAGGCACGTTCTATGATGACACTCAGCGAGAGAACTGTAGCTGCAAGTCCACTAGCGACTGTGAGACCCCGATTGAAAGGGAGATCCGGTTGGTTCAGGAACGTGAGGAGAACCTACGACGCTCTCGAGGGCTGAAGCTCAGCGACAGGAGAGCAGAGATGGTCGAGATCAAAACCAAACGTTTGCAGTCGCCACTTACGCCTGTCAAAGCTAAAGAAAAGAACAGAGTGAGCTTCATCATCCAGCATGAGATCCAGAAAGAGAACCAGAGGAAGGAGGAGCCAGGGATCCTGGGACGATACAGTCCAGATCCTCCACAGGAGCTGGAGTTTGACCAACAAGACGAGGACAAGAGGACAGAAGAAAGCTCTCATTCTGAACCTGGAGATGCCGAAGTCTTCCCGTCGCCATGCTGTCCTCATCGACACCCCGAAGAAACCGAGTTGTACATCAGCAGAAAGAGTTCAGCTCCTTCTTCCGTCTCTGTGAGGGGCTCAGAGGTCCAGGATAAGAGAGGTTTCTGCCAAGATCAAACAACTTCTTCATCCCCCTACTTCTCCTCCCCAACACCGACACCTCGCCATGATACGACGGCGAGCACGCCTTGGTCCTGGAGGGAGACCCTGGAGTCCAATGGCCTGCAGTCAAGAGGAAAAGAAGCTCCAGATTTCATCGAGAAGGAGATCGAGGAGGCCCTGAGACGGGAACAGGAGCTGAGGGAGTCCAGAGAGCTGAGAGAGTCCAGAGAGCTGAGGGAGTCCAGAGAGCTGAGGGAGTCCAGGGAGCTGAGGGAGTCCAGGGAGCTGATGGAGTCCAGAGAGCTGAGGAAGTCCAGGGAGCTGAGGGAGTCCAGGGAGCTGATGGAGTCCAGGGAGCTGATGGAGTCCAGAGAGCTGATGGAGTCCAGAGAGCTGAGGGAGTCCAGGGTGGAAACTGATGGACAGTTCTTCTCTCCAGCTCCTCTGTTGGAACAGGCAACCAAAGTGGCAGTCTGTCAGTTCTACCCACCTGTGAATGCAGGTATGTAATCTTTATCAAGGCTGGATTACCATCTAGAAAACTAGGCATCTGCACCAGGGGCCCAAGGCCCCTGGTGCAGATGCCCCCTAACCCTAACCCTTATTTCTGTGAAAATGGACCTGCAGACAGCTCTGTTATCACATCTGCTTTTATTTTTGTCAAAGTTCCTGAGTGTCTGGCTGCAGTTTCTCTGACGGCCACCAGATGCTGCTGTGAGCAAACTCTGACTGTAAATGATGTGAAAACTTCAAATTGCTCACAAAGTCAGTTCTCTCACTCAGTTTGATGGAGGATTTTCACAAAAAAAGTTCCTTTAAGAAGATATTTAGTCTCGTTGGGTCTTGATTGACGCAGTGAAACTACAATGATACATGAACTTTGACATCAATACAAACTTTCTCTGCAGGTTGATTTTCGAAGGAATTATCTTAAACAAACGGCAGCCTGAAAGGACACTTCAGCATAAACAGTATGTTTAGAGAATAAAGTAAAACCTGAATGGTGTCTGGTGTGGATGCAGCTGTTTGTCACTTTGCTGGAGAGATTAAGTTACTTAATGAGGGAACAACCAAAGTCCAGCAGCTTCAGGTGGTTTAGCTGCAGTTTGTGTAAATCAGTAACTAGTAAACCAGTTTCCAACCACAGTCACGAATCAGACTGAGACACCTGAGAATCACTCGGAAAGTACAGGACCAGTAACGTCCATACAGGACTAGTAACGTGTCTACAGGACCAGTAACGTCCATGCAGAACCAGTAACGTGCATGCTGAACCAGTAACGCCCATACAGGATCAGTAACGTCCTTACAGGACCAGTAATGTGCATACAGGACCAGTAACGTACTTACAGGACCAGTAACGTGCATGCTGAACCACTAACGTCCATACAGGATCAGTAACTTCCATAGAGAACCAGTAACGTCCTTACAGGACCAGTAACGTCCATACAGGATCAGTAACTTCCATAGAGAACCAGTAACGTCCTTACAGGACCAGTAACGTCCATACAGGATCAGTAACTTCCATAGAGAACCAGTAACGTCCTTACATGATCAGTTACATGAATGCAGGTCCAGTAACATCTATATAGGACCAGTAACTTCCATACAGGACCAGTAACGTGCATGCAGAACCAGTAACGTCCATACAGGACCAGTAACGTTAATGCAGGACCAGTAATGTCCATGCAGGACCAGTAACTTTCATACAGGTCCAGTAACCTCTATACAGGACCAGTAACATCCATGCAGGACCAGTAACCTCTATACAGGACCAGTAACTTCCAAGCATGACCAGTAAAGTCCATGCAAAACCAGTTAAAACCAGGCAGGACCAGTTCAGTCCATGCAGGACCAGTAACATTCATACAAGACCAGTAATGTCAATTGAATTAAATTAAATTTATTTTGTATAGCCACAAATCACAAATCCTTTAAAATTCTTTAAAATCTGTACACATATGACATCCTCTTACCTTTGACCCTCACATCAGAACAGAGGAGGATCCTCATCCTCATCATCATCCTCATCCTCATCATCCTCTATCAGGATGAAGTGTGATGTCATGTGTACAGAATGGACACCACAGCAGAGTTACAACACATTCAATGCATATGACAGAAATGATTCATATAATGAGTAGTAAGTAGAATAATGATGGAAACATTATGAAGACTAATAACAGTAGAAGTGGATATCGTTGAATAATAATGATAACAAAAGCAGTAATGGTATCGGTAATAGTAACAGTAATGTGACTAATAATAATGATGATAGTAGCCGTGTGTGTCATTAGGACCAGGGTCCAGATAAAACCAGGATCCATGTAAACCTGTGAAGAGAGAAAACACCACAAAGACTCTGAGGAAGAAGCAAAGTCAGTAATGAGACATGAATTCATACAGAAGGAGAGAGAGAAGAGGAGCTCAGTGTATCCTAGGAAGTCCTCTAGTAGTCTAGGTCTATAGCAGCTTATCTAGGGGCTGGTCCAAGGCAGACCTGAGCCAGTCCTGACTATAAACCTGAACCAGCCCTAACTATAAACCTGAACCAGCCCTAACTATAAACCTGAGCCAGCCCCAACTATAAACCTGAGCCAGCCCCAACTATAAACCTGAGCCAGTCCTAACTATAAACCTGAACCAGCCCCA